AGAGCGACTCTCCAAGATGACTTCAAGTCATTCACCACTCTGCTGGAAAAAATGTGGAAACATCGGCACCTTCGCACATTGTTGGTGGCAGTGTGACCACATCCAACAGTTCTGGCATGACGTGCTAGGCCAAATCAAACTAATCACCGGTTTTGTCATACCATTTGATCCAGCTTTATTGTTTTTGGATAGATGGGACACAATAGTAATACCACCAATTCATCGGGACCTTATCACTAGTCTTCTTGTAGCGGCTAAAACTTCCATTGCAGCTAGATGGAAAGCAGATAAAGCTCCATCTCGATCCTGCTGGTTGAATAAAGTATGGGACCACCTAATCTTGGAGAAGATAACAGATCACATTCGCCGATCTGAAATCTACCCTAAACAGTCCAATTTTGCAAAGAAATGGCTTCCCTTTATGGAGTTCATTTTTGCCTCTGACCTGCAACCTATAAATTTAAGGGGGGAAGGGTTGTAAAGAAAGAGGAAAACTGCATCAAACAAGAGAAGAGAGCTATAAATTTTTTAATATAGGGGCCAGTAAAAAAAATAGGGCTTAGCAAAGTAATGTAAAAGCAATAACGACGCAGATTAAGAAAAAATAAGAGAAAATTACATGCCTGAGTACTGCCGAATTTGTGTTTGTCTTTTTAAGTCAGAGCACAGCTGAGGAGAATTGGAGAGTGGGAGAGGATCGCTGGAGACAAGCCAGGTGTGGTTTGAGCGGTGACGCAATGCGGAAGCAAGAGAGAGGAGAGAAGACGCGACGTGTGCTACGAGAAGAGAAAGGAGGGGCAAGTGATCCAGCAGAGCAAGTGAGTGGAGCGACGCAAAGAAGAGTCCCGACAGGTGGAAAGTACGCTGCAAACAGAAGACGCTGAGAGGAGGGGCAAGTGAAAGAGCAAAGAGGCGAGGGAAGGACAAAGGAGGGAAAAAAACAAAGGAAGAGAGAGACTATAAAAATAGCTGTAAAGAACAAAGAAAAGAGGATTGGTTTAGGTGGGGGGGAAAGATAGCGCGAATTACATTTAATAGAAGAGAAGGATAGGTTAAAGAAGATATTGTGAGTAAGAAAGTAAAGAAGTATAAAATTAGTGAGGACAGTTAGAAAATAAGAAAAAGTACTACCCAGTAGAAACAAAGCAAAATAAAAGCTGAACACCCAAAAGAAAATATAAAAATAATACTGAACAGGGAAAATTAAAAATTAAGATAATGGCATCTGGAACAACAAAGAGAACGCCCACAGCATCCCCAAGCCAAAGTGGAGGGTTAACCCAATTAAAATCAAATGTGCCACCAATTACTATGGCAGATCTGCAAACAATGATGTTAAATTGTTTGTCACAAGCGTCACAGCAAACTGCAGACATAATTTAAAAAGAGTTAGAACCAATCAAAAATAAAATTGGAGAAATTTCAAAACAATTAAAAACAGACACAGAGGAAATCAAAGCAGAGATTGCAAAAATAGTGACAAATATAAATAAGTTGGAAGAAAAGGTAGACGATCTAGACCAAGAGGTACAAGATATAAATTCTAGAACAAAGAAAATTGAGCAATCATTGATAATGTTGGAAATGGAAAAATCAGGGTTGATTCTCAGATTTCAAAACATTCCAGAACAAATAACCAAAAATTTAAAGGAGGAACTGGTGCGCAACATTAGTGAACAACTAAATGTAGGAACAGAAAAAGAAATAGTAGAAGATATAGAAGGCATATATAGAAGAAATTCAGCATATGCGAAAAGATACAAAACGCCTAGGGAAGTCCATGTAAAATTTTATTTAAAAAAGACAAGGGATCAAATACTATTTGAAGAAAATACAAATAAGCTAAAGATTGAAGGATCAGAAATTAGAATATTAAAAGACATACCGTGGCGTGTCAGAGAGAAGAGACATAATTATAATATACTGGCAAATTTACTGAGAAAAAATAAAATACAGTACAGATGGTTGATGCCAGAGGGATTGTTGTTCACGTATAACTCAAAAAGGAACAGGATAGACTCCATTTTCAAATTAGAGCATTTCCTAGAGAAAGAAGGGGAAGACCTAGGGTGGGAGAAAGGAGAGGAAGAAGATAGAGAAGAGGGGGAAGAGGAGGAAGAAGAAGATGAAAAGCAGAATGACACAACAAGACAGGCGAAAAAGAGACACACAATAATGGTAAAAAAGAGGGAAAAGTGCAACAGTTAAGATACAAAACAGAATCGCAAATCCGCACAAGACTTCAATTGAAAAACATAGTAAGGGGGAAAAAAGATAAGAAATAAGATGGCG